ATACATACATACATACATACATACATACACACACACACACTACAAATATATAATATAGAAAAATTCTGTGTCTCCTGGGGGCTAAGCCCCCCTTGTTCTTAAAACCTAGTGACACCCCTGGCAAGGAAAGAGGAAATAATAAATCATGACTCTGGATCAATGCTCCACAGAAGACATCTGATCAGTTCTGACAGGTCGATCAATAAGTACTGATCCAATCAATTAGTGAGCAGCCTCCTGCAGACGGAGCCCACGCAGAAAAAAGGGAGTCAACAACTTGCTAATGGTTCACACACATTAACCATTAACCAACCATTAACCATATACATTAACCAGTTGTATATGAATCACATGTGGAGCCACTGAACTGCAGGTTAGCTGGTTTCACTCAACACAACCAGAGAAAACCAGTTAAAGAGCACATTAACACAACAAATCACTGCCTGYGGTGAGTCTGCAGGCCATCCAGCCTCCATGAACCCAGCATCTGACAGGCTCTGTGTGGAGGCTCACCGGCAGAGGACCGGAGGCCCGGTCTGCCCGGAGCTCAACCAGACCCAGTTTCAACAAAGACCACTTCATAAAAAGCCACAGTTGTTACGTYCCTGTCCATTACACAGCTTCAGTTGTGTTGTGCTGAGACGCACAGAGCAAGCTTTGCATTCACTTAACGTAGTTTCGTTTCGCACGAGTCGCCATCGCATCCACTCCGGACACAATGCTATCCAGCTAGCGACAAATGTGCAACTCCTCCGGACAAAAACCCGCAGAAGCTAGCAGCGGAAAACAGACCCACCTGCCAGCGCCGGTCCCTCCCGGGTCCTTTGTAGAGTCGTACGGCTTGAACTAAATTCCGCTTTTGGCCTGGACTAAAGTGGAGGACTGTTTGTCTGGCCGGCGGATTACAAAAGCTGGCTAACCCGCTAACCCGCTTGGGCTAACGACGGATAGCGCTGCTCGCTGGCTGCCAGCAAACCGCGGTCCAGATCCGCGGTTCCGTTGCGCTTTGTGTCCGCTCCGCTACCTGACTCCGGAACTCGGTCCTCGTCTGTTCKGCCCTCGCTGCTGCGGGAGTCGGTCGTCCCGTGGCTCCGTTATCTCGTGCCACACGGTTTTTCTGGTTGAGTGAGGCCCCGCTCGAGCCGCGGCCTGTCGCACAATCAAAGATGGCCGACACTCTGGTTGCCAGATTTATCTTCTCCTATCCCCCCATCCGTTACTGTTTCAACAGGGGCTGAACTCTAAGTCCAAGACAAAGTATGCGTCACAAAATGCAGTTAGGGGCTAAAATTATGTTATATAT